GGATGCTGGGTGCAGAGGCCCCCCAGGATGCTGGGTGCAGAGGCCCCCAAGGATGCTGGGTGCAGAGGCCCCCCAGGATCCTGGGTGCAGAGGCCTTGACCAGCCCGGGCCCGAGGCGGCGGGGACCGGCGCCCTCGGCCCTCCCCCGACAGCACCAGTTTCCCCGGCTGTGGGGCTGGGAGTAGGGCTGGGCGCGCCCGAGGCGTCCCTCGTCCCCGGCTCCTGCCAGCGCGCCCCTGCCCCTCTCCCTCTGGGTGTGGGCCCCTGCGACCTGCCCTGCCTGGCGGAAGCCGGCTCGAGCTCCACGCACACCCGCCCCCTCGGCGCCGGCCTCGGTGATCCTGGCTCGGCCCTCGGGCTGTGAGCTCGCCTAGCCCTGAAGCGGGCCCGCGCTGTGGCCCGTGACACCGGGCCGGGCGAGGCGTCCTCCGAATTAAACGCCGGGGAACGGCATGTGGGCCCCGCGGGCCTTAGCCCCGCGACACTGAGGGAGCCTTTGCTCCGCCCCCGCCGCCAGAGGGTCCCGCTGCTGTGGTGAGGGGCACCGGGCCTGGTGCGGGGCGCGTGCGTGTGACCCTGAGACTGGCCGGGGGACCAAAGGTTCAGAGCGGAAGCAGAGGCTGCGAGTGTAGACAGCTCCCTAGGGACTCTGCTTGCAGGGCTTCAGAGAAGGGAAGCAGGGCTGGGGGCTCTCGTGTGCTCCGAGCAGCGACTTTTCCCTGACGAAGGAAGGGCCCGCAGGCAGGGTCCTCGCAGGCTTCCACTCAGGGGAGGGGCCGGAGCGATGCTGAGCGAGCACAGGGAGTGGGCTCCCAAGAGCAGGGCAGGGGTGCTCTTGGCGGGGGCTGCGCACCCCTGAAGCAGGAGGAAGGCAGAAGATCTGGTGCCCAGAAGGCAGGACCGCAGGCGGGGAAAGGAGCCAGCACCAGGCAGCTTTGGTCCTCTCAGGCGTGTCTCTGAGGCTGGGCACGTGTCCTGAAGGCCCTGGGAGATGCTGGAGGTTGAGTTTGTGCACCTGAAGGAAGGACAGGGGGGCACTACCCCGAGTGGAGGGCGTGGCCTCTGGGTGGGGTGCAGGACAGGGGAAGTGGCCCAGGCCCGGTCCTGATGGCGATGAGAGGGGCCACCACACGTGGCTGTCCGTGAGGTGTCCGGGTCTGGGCTGGGTGCCCTGGGTGCCTCGTGTGCCATCCTCACAGCCATGTGGACACGGAGGCTTCTCGAGATGCTGTGACGGGGCTCAGGTTCCAGCTTCAGGCTCATGCCCCTGCCTGCCTGGGGCTGTTGCTCCTGCATGCAGCACAGCGCTGTGCTCCAGCCAGGAGGAGGAGACGCCCTCCCCAGGTACACGAAAGGGGGTAAACACCGGGTTAGGGGTGCAGGAGGTCAGGGCCCATGTCACCTCATCACTCGGCGCCTGGTCCTCCTCACCGTAGAGTGGGCCTCACGGTAGCACGAGCCCTGCCGAGTCCTGTAGGGATTCAATTCCCCGATTCAGAATTGAGCCCCTACCAGTGCCGGGCCCATGTTCTGACTCTCACGCCTTATTTTTGGGGGCTCAGGTGGAGGGCATGTGCTGACAGCGGAGAGAGCCGGGTGGGATGGGTTGGGACACAGACAGAGGGATGTGGGGGAGACACCTGAGGGGGCCTATCCGAGGTCACAGGGTGTTCTGAGAGCAGGCCTGAGGTTGGGTAGCAAGGATTTGGGCTCAGCCAGCCTGGGGCAGGGGCCAGAAAGATCACGGTCTGCAGTGCCGTGGCGGTGGCAGGGCCAGGGATCTGAGAGTGTTGGTGGGAGCGGGGAAGGTAAAGGACAAGAAGGAGCACCTGGGACTGCCCCCCTGTGCTGGAAGAGGGCGAATGCCAGGCCAGCTCTCCACTCTCATCTGGCCGAGGGGCTCTCTCTTGCCGGCTCTCATGAGGCCGAGGGGGCTCTCCTATGCCGGCCCTCCACTCTCATCAGGCCGAGGGGGCTTTCACTGGCCGGCCTTCCACTCTCATCAGCCCGGGGGCTCTCCCGGGCCAGCTCTCCACTCTCATCCGGCCGAGGGGCTCTCCCCGGCTGCCCCTCCACTCTCATGAAGCCGAGGGAGCTCTCCCAGGCCAGCTCTCCACTCTCATCCGGCCGAGGGGGCTCTCCCTGGCCGGCTCTCATGAGGCCGAGGGGGCTTTCACTGGCCGACCTTCCACTCTCATCAGCCCGGGGGCTCTCCCGGGCCTGCTCTCCACTCTCATCAGGCCAAGGGGGCTCTCCCCGGCTGCCCCTCCACTCTCATGAGGCCGAGGGGGCTCTCCTATGCCAGCCCTCCACTCTCATCAGGCCGAGGGGGCTTTCACTGGCCGACCTTCCACTCTCATCAGCCCGGGGGCTCTCCCAGGCCAGCTCTCCACTCTCATCCGGCCAAGGGGCTCTCCCCAGCTACCCCTCCACTCTCATCAGGTCGAGGGGGCTCTCCCAGGCCTGCCCTCCGATCTCATCTGACCGAGAGGGCTCTCCCTGGCTGGCTGTCCACTCTGTTGAGGCTGAGGGGGCTCTCTCAGGCCGGCTCGCCAATCTCATGAGGCCAAGGGGGCTCTCCTTTGCCGGCCTTCCACTCATCGGAGAGAGGGGGCTCTCCCACGCCCGCCCTAACTCTCACGAGGCCGAGGGGGCTCGCCCAGGCCGGCCCTCCACTCTCATCAGGCCGAGGGGCTCTCACTCCTCTGTGTTCCCCTAGGGCTTGCTGACCTCTGCCTAAGCACCGGCCACGCTCTGTCCTGCCGGTGCCTTTGGCTCTCTGCCGCCACCCTCCTCCGTGAGCTCCCCCAGACTCCACAGGATGGACCTGAGTCAGGCCAATCCCAACCCCTTCCCGTGGGCCTGCCCCGGTGCTGGACATCGGTGACCGCGTGGTGACAGGGGGACATCGGTGACCGCGTGGTGACAGGGGCAGCTGAGCACCGAGCTCGCTGGGTTTCGGGCACATGGGGGACGGTCCGGCCCGCCGTCGGTGAGCTGGGAGAGCGGGTGGTGACGCGCCCCGCTGTTCTTCCGCAGGCCACCCGCGGCCCAGGGATCCCCAGAGATGAAGTTTGGCTGCCTCTCCTTCAGGCAGCCTTATGCTGGCTTTGTCTTAAACGGAGTCAAGACCGTGGAGACGCGCTGGCGGCCCCTGCTGAGCAGCCACCGCAACTGCACCGTCGCCATCCACATAGCTCACAGGGACTGGGAGGACGACACCTGGCGGGAGCTGCTGGTGGACAGGCTGGGGATGACTCCCGCCCAGGTGCAGGCCCTGCTTCGGGAAGGGGAGAAGTTTGGCCGGGGAGTGATAGCTGGTAAGTGACCCCGGGCCAAGCGTGCGCAGACCGCTCCGAGCGCTGCCACCCAGGACCTTTCAGGGCGGTTTGGGGCCTTCTGGTGTCGTCTGATCTGGCTGGTGGGCTTGCTGCCGCTTCCCGACGCCACACACCTAAAGGGGCTGCCAGGGGCCCCGCGTGGCGGATCAGCGGGCTGAGATCCCCCCTCCCCAGTAAATCCGGTCTTCCCCCGGGTCTGTTTCCGTTTGCCATCGGAGAGCCTGGGTCAGGCCCGTGTGTGCCTGTGGGGTCAGCGTGTGTATGCATGCACCTGGGTGCATATGCCCATGCACGCGTGCACATGGAAGAGACCAGGCGTGGCAGCACAGCACCCCGAGAGGGTCAGGGGGCCTCTGGCGTCAGGCTGCCTGCCTGGTCTCGCAGGCCCGCCCCAGCCCCACCGCTCGCAGGCCCTGGGCGAGTCCCCCAGCCTCTGGGTGCTTGAGGTCCCACTTCAGCTGCTGTCACCTGGTGAACTGCTAAGGCGTCGCCTGTGGCTTCCCTGGCAGTGGCTGGGGTCCGTCCTTCCACTCCGTAACCGCTGCCCTCAGCAGTCTGCTGGGGCCCGCCCATGAGTCCATGTACCGCTTCTCTCCTGATCCTTGCTGGGGCCCTCCCCCGGCCTCATCCAGGATGCCCTGAGTAGAGCGCGGCTCGTCATCAGTGCTCAGCTAAGAGGACTTGACTCGCTTCCTGTCCTTCTGGTGATGTCATCTTCGTCGGTAGCGGTTGAGACTTTGAATGACCACGGCGCCACACAGGCAGCCCTTGGGGTATGGAAGGGAGCGACATCTGTGTGTTTCTCTCTTTGTGCACAGGGCTCGTTGACATTGGGGAAACTTTACAGTGCCCTGAAAACTTGAGTCCCGACGAGGTTGTGGACCTGGAGAATCAAGCCGTGCTGAGCGACCTGAAGCAGAAGTACCTGACCGCGATTTCCAACCCCAGGTGGTTACTGGAGCCCATACCTAGGAAAGGAGGAAAGGACGTATTCCAGGTAGACATCCCAGAGCACCTGATCCCTTTGGGGCGTGAGGTGTAACGAGTGTGGGCTCCTGAGAGGAACGTTGCTGAGAAGCCAGCTAAATCATGATACCTTCAACATCACTATTCAGACCTATATACGCTGGGCTAAGTCGGCATTGCCACCGCATGGGAGGGCGCCACCCCCTCGGTGCTGTTCACACATGCAGGTTTCCTCACTCAGATGAAGGGAATAAGGGTGGGACTTTCCCTGTGCCATGTGTCTTTGGGCTCATGGACAATGTCTCATGTACGTTGCCCTTTTGCTAAAAGGAAAGCCAGCCAGTAAATGTCTTGGCCTCCCTGCTTATATAGGTCCTGCTGATTTTGGGATTGTACCAATAAATGTGTTCTAGATAACCATTTACTGTTTGAGGCTCCCTGTTTTGTTTTACCTTGTTTGTTCTGGTCCAAACTCATCACGTTTGTTCTGCTTGATCTTGGGATAGCAGTTTCCTGAAGCCATCAGTTTCTTCATTAGAGTTCATTAGTTATTCTTACTGAGTCCAGTGGTATGATCCTTAAAGTTATAGAACTATATTTGTCAGTGTTTTCATGAGTCTCTTTGAAGACAAAGTACTTCAGGATTATGGTCACTTGCAAAATATTTCAGAAAACAATTAACTGTGGGTGATAAGACTTAAAATGACTGTGGTTAAAAATCTTCGATGGGCAACATAGTTGGTTCCATGTTTTTGCTATTGTGAATAGAGCTGCAATAAACATATGGTACGGGTATCTTTTTTGTAGAATATGAGTTCCTCCGGGTATATTCCCAATAGGAGAATTGCTGGGTCATATGGAAGGTAAGTTTCTAGTTCTTTCAGAAATTGCCACACTGTCTTCCAAAGAGGTTGCACTAGTCTGTATTCCCACCAGCAGTGTAGAAGCATTCCTTTTTCTCCACATCCTTGCCAGCATCTCTTGTTGTTTGTTTTATTAATGATGGCCATTCTGTGGTACATATATACAATGGAATATTATGCAGCCATAAAGAAGGAGAAATATATGGACTTTGCAGCAACTTGGATGTGTTTGGAGTCGATCATACTCAGTGATTTATCGCAGAAACAAAGAACAGAGTTCCATATGTTCTCACTCATAAACAGACCTTGAACAAGTATAATGCTAGAAGAAAGCAACTGGCAGTAGTGGGAAACTGTCAGAGGAGGGGGTGGGCTTGGCAGTTGAGGGAAACTGCTAGGGGAGGGAGGAGCATACCTCATCAACAAGGGTACCGGCATGATCAATGTTTATATATCTAACCCTGAAATGTACCCCATATCTTTATACTAAAATTTTTTTTTAAATCTGATGAGAGTTCATTATAATAATGACATTATTTATTTATTTATTTATTTTTTGAGTTGGAGTCTGTTGCCCAGACTGGAGTGCAGTGGCCGCTCCCGGCCACCGCAGCCTCGACCTGCTGGACTCCGGCAATCCTTCTGCCTCAGCCTTCC